ACCACCACCACCACCACCACCGCCTATACCACGTGGTATACTACTAGCAGCTACTAGCATCATCAACACTGCAAGAGGAGCAAAAGCGTGAACAGCCGCGCTAAGTCGAAAGTCCTAGCTCGCCACTCGCCAGGTCCCTTGACGGAACCACGCGAGCTTGGAAATCCTGCGAAACCATGGCAAGTGACAACACAGCAAGCCATGAAGCCAGCTGCGGTGTGAGCTCCTTGAGAAGTAAAGCCGCTTGCCAGCAAATGCTGGAAGGATTAAGAATTTGCTTCAGGGTGACCGGCTGCAGGTAGGCTGTAGCCACGAATATGCCCAAAGTCCACGGAACAGAGTCAGCATCTCGCATCTGGCACAGAATCTCGATGTTCCGTACTTCAACGTCGAAGCCTGCCCAGCTTGCCAGGTTCACAGCAAGGCATCCCTCCTGCAATAGTGAATGGAAAGCGCATCATTCAAAAAGTAAAGCCAGGAGGCTTGCAAACAAATTCATCCAAAAAGGTTGGCCCGCACTTTCGGCTTTTGACCACGGCCTCTTCCTTGGCCATGCAAGTTTTCGCGCTGCATCAAATGTGTGTAACAGATCGCCGCGCGCAGCGGCATGAAGCAAGACAGGCTGATGCTTTAGCTGCCACTCTGGACGTGCTGCTAACAAAGCCAAACATGCAAATGTCCGGTTTGCTTCCAAGCCTCGCATCTGCTTGGCAGATGGCCTCAACCTCTGTGTCCTTGGTATGTGCCACAGTGCGTGCTAGGCCCTACTGCACCATCAGCACCACGACAAAGTCAGTACCATCTGTAATCTCGGCAAGACCCACAGGGATTGTCCGGTTTCCTGGTGATTCGTACGATATCCAGGCGACCATCGGACCCTCACACAAAATGGCCACGCGAGACTGCGCACCAGTGCTGAGCATCTTCGACGAGGCTCCTCCTCCTGCTCCCTAGCAATCCCTACCAATAACTTCTACAAATGGATTGTATTCTACTCTACACCTGCAAAGCTTGTGATTCTGTTGCCTCATGCCAGCTGCCTGCACCTGACTAATCTCACAATACCCTTGCTCCAGAGCAGAGGGACGAGGCAGCGCAATGACTATTGCAGCACGCGGAACCGTGGAAGCCAAGCTTCTTCAACGCAACTCACCGAAAGCAGATGTGTCATGCTTGAATATTGTTGTGCTCAGTACATGGCGACAAGCATGACAGCTTGCATGCACGCATCCTACATTCCAGCATAGCCAAGGCTCCCAGTCTCGCAGCCGCACAGACAGCACTAGGCGCTGAGCAGAGGCATGCACGTGAAGCCGGCTTCGCAGGCTCAACTCTACCTTGCCATCTTCCCAATCAGCACCACTCTTTTGCCCATAATGTCCGTGCCTCTTCCAGCCAGGCACATTCAATCTCCAGCGGCAGAAAGATTGCCAAGTTCTCCAGCACCCTTTCCTGCACGAAAAAAAAACTTCGCAATTTTCTGCTAGACTGGGGGGGTCCACCTTAGCAGCAGTTAAGCTCAATTCCACTTGTCCTGAAGCTCCAATCTCTGCAACTTGACCGAGATGCCTAGCACTGAGAGGGCCAAGAGCTCATCGTATGGAAGGTCCTGTCGCAATGGCCACATGTCTACTGCAATGCATCGTTAGCAGGAAATCCAAAAACCATCGGAACCTTCCAGCCTTGACCACCAGCGGTGCATGCTGCTCCAGAAGACGGACCGCGTGTTGCTTGAGAGCTGCATTTCCCATGCGGCTCCGGGTTGACTACACCTGACATGAACGCGTGCTTGCCTGCTGTTCGTGGCGCACTGAAGCTGGCTTCTGAGAGCTGAAAGTTAGGTTGCTGCTACATGGCTGGTGCTTAAGGTTGGCTCTTGCCTGTGCTTTGCCAGAGCCATGGGTTTCAACCTGGAAGGATGCATGGTGGGCTTAAGAAAAGATCTTTCAACATGTGCCACAAGAGGACACGACTAGACTTGGAGCCAACAGGCGCAAGGCACAACAAGGCACAGGGGCACAGCACAGGCCTCGGAGGTGCTGAGGTTTAAAAGAGGTGAAGTCTCAGATTTCACTGTGTCAGAGCGGTTTCCTCCCTAAGCTCTTCTGAAGGTCTCACGCTTGGACCGCCGTGTCCTCTCACAGCTGTTGCGCCACAACCCCGCCAAGCACTTCAGAAAAGACTTCAAAAAGGCTTCACAAACTGAAATGCAAGTAATGAGATCACAAGCTCAGCGAGGTCGACTCTTGACCCTTTGAAATCGGGTGTGCGACGACCCGCAAACTCCTGAAAAGCAGCGCTTCTGAAGCTCACTGCCACCAAGTGCTGCTTCGCGGACTGCAGGGCCTCCTTTGTATGGAACTGGACGGTAACTCTGGAGCCCTAGATACCCAGTATTTGATACTGCTCCTGGCTCAGGAAGACAGCAGTGCGAGTCGAACGTTGTCGGCCCTCAAGGCTACCTGAAAGTGGAGAACGCGAAAACTCTGACTTTATGTCACAATCTTCACTCGGTGTCAGACGCGGTCTCCATCGGGCAACTTCACGATTACACGCCCCTGCCAGCTGAATCCGAGAATGACACTGGCTTCCACATTCCAAGTTGCTTGCTCGCAACATCTGCTCATTGCCTATGCCTATGCAGAGGGCGGGCAAGATTGACGAACGGAGTCAGGCAGTGAGTGCGAGTGATCGCAACCGTGATTCGATGGTGTAGGTGTCGGCCGAGCAGGAGCAGTTGTCCTCTGCTTCTCTCAGGATGGCCTCCTAATCGAACCGCGGATCTGGGAACACAAACATAGGAACCAACTCTTGGAGGAATCGAACCGCTAAAGAACCGAACCGCTGTGAACCGTACATAACCGAACCGCGGGAAGGCTCCTAATACAAAACCTGCAGCTTATTCGGGTGCAGATGTATGAGTTCAGGAGTTTAAACTTACCAAGACCCTGTGGCTTATTGGGGTTTAGGTATATGAGTTTAGGTTTGCTTAAACTTACCAAGGTAACTCTTTGTGTTCTGATGTTTAAGGTGACCGTCGTGGAAAACATTCAGACCTTCTCCCCCAGTGGTATGGGCTGTTGTCTTACTTCAATAACCATGGTCGCTCTGTGTTGCTGAAGTCATTCAGATATTGTTCCCTGCTGTGGTGGGTGTTTTCCTCCTCCCACAATTCTCAGCATGGTTGGAACTGCTGTCACCTTGCAGCAACGAATTCTCCTCGTGGTGGAAGCAACGCTAATATGGAATGGTCTGAAGCCTGTAGCAATTCAGCATTGAGCTTTTGTTCAGGTCGGTCAGATCTTTCACTCTCCTCCCTGTGGTGTGGGTGGTTTCCTCTTTCCCCTCTGGGGGTGGGTGGTGGGGGACAAGCACGGACACCCACCATCCTTGTTTGATTCCATTTGATGCCTACGGGTCCTGTATGACCCTGGCATGTTGCAAGGCAAAACCGCCAGGGTGTTCGCGGCAGCAAACTGTCCCTACAAAAAATCAAGCAGTCTTCACTATGATCATGGGAACTCTTGAGTTCACAAATGCTCATTCTGACTCACACTACGCTGACACAGATGCTGGCGATCATCCGACGGCTGCAGCAGAATATAATCCCACAGGGTCGCACGCCACCGGGCTCTATCAGCAGCCATCATGCTTGTGACTGTTCGCGCTTGTGAGAAGCGTGGGCCGGGGGTCAGGGGACCGGAGGGGGGGGGCGTTGCTCAGCCAAATACAACTTCACAATCCCTCAGGCCTGGTGACCCACCTAGCTTCTCAGGCAACTCCTACATATCAAGTATCCAAAGGTTCGAGGTGCCTAGGGATACAGGTTATAAGAGTAGGGGCCTGATGGTTGTAGATATACGTTCTGTTCGTATTTGGCGCTGCAATAGCACATACTTTTTTCCAAAGGCAAATCAAATCCGGCCCTGAAACTCACCAGCGGCGTCTGCCCTCCTTCGGACATCCCTTCTGAAACGCTGCAAGTCTCATCCATGGACGGGAGTTCTTACTCTGGGCACGCCTTTAGTACATTCTGTGGGTGACTGCCCGGGAGAATTTCTCTCTGCATTAAATGCCCGTCACTTAACTTGACGGTGGACTGCCCTGTACCCGAGGCGTTGCCGATGAAGTAGTCCCAAGCACACCACACACAGTCTGCTTGAGTTGCTGATACGGGACATCATGCAGCTCATTTTCCTTCATCACGTCCACATGTGCAGGTATGTCGAACTGTACATGTCTGCACAAGCTTCTGGCGTGCAAGCCTTGTGTGGCCTTTCTGAGCTACTTTGGCTCTTGTCTGGCCGCTCGGGCCAAAGCAAAGGCCATCCCTGACTTTTGAGAGACAGCTCGTGAAGAATCAAAAGAACATCAATAACCATGCGATGTTTTAGTGTTTTAGAGTACATCAGCAGCCAGTGTCTGCACGGCCTGTACCGGACACATCAGCTGCGGCATCGCGTCATTGCGTTTGCAAAGTCAGACGCTGGTCTTACATCTGCGCAAATTGGCTGAGCTGCAACTTTGCCTCAAGCACTCCGTTTGCCAAAGATGCTCCCAGGATTGCATACATGATGTACAGTCACTCCACAAGGCCTCACTGAAGGAGGTAGCTCAAAGCTAAATATTTTTGCCTCAGCGTTCCACGACGTACCACGCCCACAATATCACAGGGATGCAGAACGTGCAGAGCTCACACAAGCTGGACTCCAAGCCAACTGCAGGACTATGTGTCACGGCAAACACTTTGTGCCCCAGGCCTCGGTTGGCAAAGGCTCAACCCAGCGATGCTCCTAAACTGTCTAGAATATAACCAACAGCGCTGGCTTGCGCAAGCATATCTTGTCATGAGACGGCGCTCATGATAGTGAGCGACGCTGTTTCAACAGTTCCATTCTCATGGTTGTGTCTAATGGAAGCTCTTGGACTGCTGCTCGCAATGCCTGTCCACTTGACAATGCCAGCCTCTGCAACATCCACGGACACTGATTTAAACTCACGGCTCCTGTAATGCCCGTGAAATGTGCGCTCTGACATTTTGACAGACTGTTGCCTCGGAATCCTTGTACAGGTCAGCGGCTGCTTGTGGGAGCCTTGCTCTGTTATGCTTAGTTTAGTCAGTGTCGCATTTAATCATCACTCCGACATGTTTTTTTGCCTGTGCCGTTGAAGCACCGCTCCTGGCCGAACATCAGAACAACGCAAAACCAACATCGCCGAAATGCAGTGCGCCTGGGTTGTCTGCAAGGTCCAAAACAAGCAGTTCCCCAGAGGCCAGAAGAGCATAAAGTAGCTTTTTGGCCTTGGGTCCAACACTTGGCATTCCAGAAGGATTCTGCCGTCATTCTGCACTCAGCTTGTACGGGCCTCATCCACTTGTAGCGCAGACACAGCCTAGAGAGATAAAGCCGGAGAAGCCGACAAAAGATTGACATCCAACTCCACAGCAAGCAGCAGCAAGCAGCAGCTGCAGCAGTTCGTTGGATCCAAGCCTCGTCCAGGGCGAGGCGGAAGTCTAGGCCTCGCCACGATGACAAGGCAGCGTGGCACTAGCGCGGCTTGAGAGGTATGTTGAGTTCACAAGTTCACGGCTCACTGTCAACGGCTCATGACCACTTAAACTCGAAAGCCTGACAGAAATCCACATGGACAAGCTCTGTTGAAGCGAGACCAACTGAATGGCAAGCAAGCCGGCACCACCTCGCGGCCACGACGCCCAATGAAGGGCTAGCAGAGCGGCTAGTACGGCACAAGCTCGCTCTAACAATTGTCCGCAAGCGAGACGGGATCACCCAGCCATGAACAGCAAATCTTTCTGGGCCCAATATGTCAGACCAGAGATGGCCTGTCGGGATGCTGGCATCTGTCGTAGGTCTTCTAGTACTGTCTCATATCCTTTCCTGAACCTCCATGCTGGCGTTGATGGCAAAAGCCATGCGCAAACCTCGGATTTGCCGCAATGCTTGATGAGCCTAGAGCTAGTCCGTTTTATGGCTGCCAAAGGTCCAGCGTGAGACACAGGATTCCAGGGAAAATGAGCAAGCGGCCCAGCCTCAGCACTAGCCAGCTTACACCCAGGAAGGACGGGGAGGGGCCAGGAAAGCTCACATGGAGGAACAGGAACGAAAGGCTTACGAGGCCCCCTTACTTCTTTGGGATGTGAAATGAAATGTCTGGAGGATGCAGGGCCTGGACCCTGTTCCAAGCTAGCACGGTTTTGGATTTGTCGTTCGTTTATGTAGACAACAGTCCCTGCAGGGCCCTTCTCACCGAAAACAAGAGGTCGGCACCTTCAAGACAGTAGCCATCAAAAAGTGTCCGCCTGGCCTGTTTACCCCCGAGTGTGGTGTTTCGCCGGAAAAGACCTCAGGATTCGCCCAGCCAAATGAGCAAAGCTACAGGATAGAGCGCCCTAAGGCACCCAACGCAGACCCTTGGATGCCCCAGTCGGCAACAGGCACCCCATGTAGGCAGAAGGCACCCCACGTGCTTCAAATCCCTCTGTAGGCGCCCTTCGGGCGTCTTGCCCTGTAGCAAGCTGCACGCGAGACGCAGGCCCCCAGCCCTGAAAGCGTGGCGCTCAAATCCCCATGCAGGCGCACTAAAATGTACTTTGCAAGCGAGATGCTGTACACCAAATGACAATTCGCAGCGGAGCCCATCAAAAACACAGCATCTAGTATGGGAGTTCGCTACAGAGGTTTTGAAAAGTATTGGAACGGCTTGTGCTGTGGGATTTCGCTACAGATGTTGGTCTGAAACACCGCATCTACGACGCGATCTTGCCACAGAAGCCTCCAAAACTACTGGAATTACGACTTTCTCCGCCCAAAGGGGGCTCATGAGTACGTGGACAGCCTCCGACCCAACCTTGCTTCTGCACTGAGCCACTGGCCGAGAAGCGGTGGAGGTTGTGCCGCCCGGCCACCAGCACGGAGTTGTTCTTGGCAGGTCTTACTCAAAGACTGGCATAGAATATCTGAGCTTAGTGGCGTGGTGGAGATCACTCGAAACTCCAGAACTTCTGAAGGCCCGAGCCACCACTGCAGCTCCGTTGATCTCCATGCCAGGCAGGGGCTGCCTGGGTGTTGACTTCTGACATGGCGTTGCATTGACTGTGGAGGAGAGACAGCTGGAATTAGACGGTCCAGTGAAGATGACAAGTCAAGCCGGCCTTCGGCTACAACGGCTATAAGTAGGTTGAGTAAATAGGCCTCACGAATGGCCGTAGGCCTGCACCCGCCTGGGCCTGCACACATGTTCGCTCGAGCAAGGCTCCAGTTTGATTACAGAAGTCAATCCAGCTGTTGCGCTGCTCCAGCAAGGCTTTACGGCAGGTGCTGGCGACCAGTCTGAGGCTGTAACTCGTCCTGCAAAATCGCGGTGAGGTCTGCTTCTCGCAGCCTTGGCAAATATCATATGACTGCTGCTCGCGAGCACACAGCTCATCGTCCTAACTGTTATGCTTGTGCGTTACATTTCTGCAGCCGGTGTTTTCTTCCCGAGGCTGAAGATATCCCGCAGGTCAGCATCCTCATCTTCCATTTCAATCACCCTACCTGGCTCTTCGCGCAGCTTGTCCGTGTTGAACCGGAACGGACTAACTTCCACGCGCGACACAGATGGACCAATGGGTGCGAACTCATAAGGTATCTGTGCATCGTACACCTTGCTCGGGTCCACGTGCTGGACATGCGGTCGCCACCATTCTCTGTATCCCTCGGCTTTCGAACTTATCATTTCGATTCCCGGTGGGCCTTCTCCCGCTGGAAATGAGTTAAGCTCTGCGGCCTCGATGCCATCAACATCGACGAAATTCTCATAGCAAAGTCTCTCCTCACACGGCGAAAGTCCAATGCCGAGGGCCTTCTTCACGGGCAGTACAAGGTCAGTGAGAACTTGCCTCAGAAACCCATCAGGCAACAAACTCTCCTGCCAGCGTTCTGCAAGTGACCCTTCTCGGAAGATGCCGCTGTCTTGGGGCCTCAGGACACCTTCTGGCGCAAACCGCAACACAGGGCCATCTAGAGCGCCGTCTTTACAAGAAATGATCCATCTAAGGTCTCCGTCCCGTCCGTATTTGACGTGGTATCCGTCTGCTGGCCGCATGTTCGGTCGGACAAAGTATTCCTTGCCAAGCTCTGGAGGCGATGGCACATTTACCAGCTTTCCGTCGGCTCTCTCTCGCAACTTTGGCAATACTTTGGCTGGACCAAGAGGCCATATGGCTGCCAAACCACCATGACCATGATATACGGCCACTCCCAGCCCACACGCAAACTTAACAACCGCGTTAGAGTCCAGAGGCGTAAAACCGCGGATGTGATATGGGAATTTTTCCTTAGCTGCTTCGCCAGACAAGTGTATCAGCTCTGCACAGCCAGAGAGCTGAATCTTCTGCAAACCACTCACACTGAAGGGGCGGATACGGGAGGACTGCATATCCGTAATCATCAGAGACCTGCTATCAAATTCTGCGACAAGCAGCTGTGTCCACAATGCTCAGGAGGTTTTTGCTCCGGTAGCCGTGCTGCGGCCATTGCATCTCCCAAAGTTTAAAAGCTTCACCCAGAGGAATTACCTATCCTACTTGTACTGCTGCTGTTCTACCTACCTGGCAGCATTTCATGAGGAGAAGTGCGCGCATGGGAAGCGTAAGGACTGAGCCATGACTTGCGCGGGACAAATTCGAGCACTATGACAGATGCACACGTAAACCAAATGGCCGGCAAGGAGAGAATAACGAACCTGCATCCAAGGCTTCTGCCCAAATCTTGCCACGCGAAAGTCCGTGGTCAGGATAAGCGCATCCTCACATGCAAGCAACAGTTGCATGTTGCTAGATGTTTCTACTGGACCTGGGCCCACATCTCTGTCCGCCTCATGGAAAGTCTTCAGTTTGGGCAGCGGTCATATGAATTTTTTGGCGGCCACCACGTCTACCCTCCCGGAAAATTGCAGTTTAAGCATGTGGCCAGGGAAGGCCATGGTATACCATGCAATTTCCCTATCACAAAGAACAGGAGTGGCTGACACCATAAGCATAGATAGACTAATGACTAATGACTAAGGTTAACCTGACAACAAAGAGCCCTCCTCCCACCCCACACCCCCAGATCTTGTTTGCGTCTTTGGTGTACGAGAGAGGGGCGGCTCGCAACAGTAAACCAGGGTTTGGGATAGGGTTAGGTAGTGCAACTTGTAACACTAGTAGTACAAGTAAAAGGAAATCTATCAAAATCTGTATATGTTCGGGAGGACAATATCATTCTTGTCACCCCCTCATTATTGCCAAAGGACCTTTTTTACACCAAATTCGGGCTCCGAACTCGTTAGAAAACTGCAAGAATCAAAATATTTTTGTCACCCCTTTAGTAGTGATGGGTTAACATCATAAGCTTCTGCTGCCCCACACTGTAGGACGGCCATCTTCTTTGGCACGAGTTGTCTTTGGCTTGAGTTTAATCACTTGGTCGTCTGAATTTAGGTGTTTTACCTTGTGAGTCTTCATTGGGGATCTGGGCTGAGACTTGCGTCGACCGCAGATGCTTTGCTGCCAGCCCAGTCTAAAGTCTGAAATGGATTTGCAGGAGACCTGCGAATCCTCAAAAGCAAGGGAGCCTAGGCGCGCACCGCGTTTCCTATCTTGAAATCAGCCTCTACCATCCCTGAGGCGTGCCAACACTCAAGCCAAGGGCGCGATGGCTCCCGTGTCGGATTTCTCTGGTGCATCTGGCGCACAGTCATCAAACTCTCTTCCCTACAACCAGCCGTTCTGGCAGCACCTGTCTGGCCCTGGATTGCGGGAGGCTTGCGAGACCATAAGTTGAGCACATGGCCTCCAAGTAATCCCCTTTCAAAACGCAACGGCAACTTCAAGGACAGGCTGCTAACTGCTAAGCAGCAATGTTGTGTAGCCTCCCATGTCTGAAGTGAACATGAAGCATCGAAAAATACATGTAGAGCTAGCTGCGTCCTCCAAAGCCACAATGCCAGTAGGGTTGAAGAACCTCGCAAAAAGCCATCTAGGTCCACAGGCCCCCCCCACACTGCGACTTGTGCAGGGGCTGGGCAAAATCAAGGTTGGCTGTTTCTCGCCTGAGCTTCTGGCATTGGCCACTGCTCGACAGACCTTGGAAACATTTGGGACGCTCTTGAATGCTACTCAAGAAATTTCAGGAAACTGCATTGACTACGAAAGCCGGAGGCCCCACCACTCTGCCAGAGAAGCCACAGGCGAGGGCCGCAGTGGACCAAGCGCCAGCTGAAGAGGTGGCAAATGCAGCCTTACAGCCACGGCTAAGGATGTGGAGGAGATGGCCACGGCCAGAAGAACCTGCGAGTTTCTCAAGGGCGGTGAAGCTTTCAGCGGAGTAGAACCAGTGTAATTGATCAGCTGAGGGGGAAACTCCACAGTGGGTAGCCGCCATGATCAGCGTGGGATTGGAGAAGTCTTTGCCCGTCTTATGGAAATCGTGCCGCTTGTCCGGGTATGGGCGAATCAGGCTTGCAAAAGCAGCCACCATGAGCGGCGGCAGAAAGATGCCAAGCCGGGCATAGAACGCCATCGGATGATCTGTGTACTCTTCACGCCGCATGTGCAATCGGGATACAACCAAGAACCCCAAGCACAGAAGTGTAAAAAAGCTTCCTCCCACCACAGTGCGATGCGCTTGGTCTTCGTAGAGCTCTATGGCCTTGTCAGGGCAGCTAATTAATCGCAAGCCACATAGACTGCTCGGCAGATGATGGCCTGAACCTCTGGCATGTTGCTCATTTCTGTCACGTGGAGCTTTGGCGGGAGATGCCCGCTTTGTACTCCGGCGCAGCCCGGAGATAGCTTGGTCTGCTTTCCTGGCTTGGCTTCCATCTCATGAGTCCTGACACAGTTTCTGCAAACTATGACCAACATTCATCCATGGGCACAGACAACAAAAAGGAGAGATCAAGTAAAAACATCTAGCTGCCCTTAGCTTCTAGCTGTACAAAGCAAGGCACGCCGAGGTTTCAGCATGGAGTTCCATTGTCAAGTAATCCAACGCAATTCGCGAAGGAGGGGACTCCATCTTTCCAGATGACTCCGAAACACTCCACCAGTCATCATCAGAATCTTCAGAGTCCACAGAGAATCCTTCGGCAGTGATGCTGTCAGCTTGTGCGGACTGTAAACTGTAAGCTGCCAGCTGCAGGCACTTGCTACCAGTCACACGCGCTTGACAACAGCAACGGGACTGATTGCCGGTCCTGCTCTCGCAGGTGGACCCGGTGCAAAGGCAAAAATTCGTGCCACCAGACCCCAAGCCGCTGAGACAGCGAGTCCAGCAACATGCCTAGCTCCACCCCGATGGGGCAACCTCTCAGTCAGTTGCCTACGCCTCTGATGCCAGTGGGCTCCGAGGATCTCAACAAAGGTCTCACCTTCTCTCAAAGATCTACGGGGGGACTCTTCTTGGAGAAGCAAGAAACTGACGAAAGCGTGCCTTGGTCCTTCTCCTCCTCCGCCTGTAGGGACACGGACCATGTACGCACAATGCGCGTGCCCGCTTTGGATCAAAAAGGATTCCATCGGCCATCTGCCTGCTTGGAGACCAGGAGCTGCAATTCCCGCAGATGTCGGTGACCTTGGCTGAGACTGAACAAGAGAATTCCACGCGCGCCTTCGAGGACGCATGAGCTTCCACTACGTATGCCGGCCCCCAAGCTTTCCAAACAGCTGCTAAATCGGGGCACCTCAACTACCAATGCAATGCGCGTTGCTAGCTGGCGCTCCTGGCTGTGCTTTCGAGTCGTCCATTCGCGGTTTTAGATTTACAGAGTCCTTTAAGCTCTGATGCGTGCCTTGCAGAAACCTTGTTGAGCTTAGCAAGACAGCTAGCACGTCAAAGCAAATCCACCATGAAGATGCTGCGTCGGCCAGACCTGCAGCACAGACCTGTTCAACAACTGCACTCTAGCAACCAGGCTCATCACGCGGTCTTTTGCTCGTGTGCACAGGTGAACATGACAGAGTTTGTGGGACTGGGACCGGGCAGAGCGAGATCAAAAACTAGATGCTCAGAGTTGTTCTTTCTGGCTACAAGTGACCGGCGTGTTGGACTGCAATGTGGAAAACTGGCAGGGGAAAACAGCACTTTCACTCAAGTGCCTGAAAGCTCTGCCCACACTTTGCAAAGCCCCAGAATGCCTCTGCAGCTCGACTACGCTGCAGGGCTTACATAAGTTTGCCTCCCGCTTCCCTTTGCTCACGTTCCTTCAAGCGCATCCGTTTCGTCATTTCTCTGGAGCCTTTGAGGAAGGTCATGCAGTCCTCATAGTCCTTACAGGCAGCTTACAGTCAGAAGAACATTTTCCATACCTACCAATACCTCAATCCATCAAAACCTCACTACCTGGCCCCTACCTTACAAGAATTAAAGCATTCGAATTGAAGAGGAGTGTCAGGTGCCTGCGTGTCGTTCACATCTAGCAAGAAGTAGCCATCAATGGCCTCAGGATCCTCTGCGTTATCTTCCCAAACAGAATATGGCCGAGGCCAGACTCTGACAATGACCGCTGGGTTCAGAGGAAGTGGATCTTTGTCATCATCAGGCTCAAACTGCTCCAAATGAAAAATGGGTAAAAGCGTCCCTTCCAAGCTCCGGAAGCTGCGCAGCATGACTCCTGCTGCAGCTACGCTGTCCTGTAGAAGCTTTGCGTTCAGAAGCACGACTGGGACTCTCTTCCCTTCTTCCTTCATAACCTCAAATATGGCCAGGACAGCTGCCATTTCGGACTGGTTGGGCGCAACTATAATGAGCATTGATGACTCCAAGAACTGATTGATCGTCGTCCTCTCCTCCGCTTTCATGTCTATCTTGGGCAGGACTGGCGGCAGGTGGTCAAGAATGAGGTTCTCGGGCAGTGGATTCCACCGCGTCGAGACTAAGGACATGGCACCAAAATCCGTGAAGAGAACACGGACTCCGTTTCCCTGAGGCAGTCTCGGCGACATGGCAAGCGTCTTGGCAAGCCTTTCTGCAAATTGCAGAACATTGCCTAATTCGCCAGAGACTTGAGTGTCGATGGTGCCCGTGTTGAAGTACATGCTTTGTCGAAGCTGGCCCTCATAGTAAGCTCGCAAGGAGGCAGAGCATGCCCAATTCACTGCCTGCTCAAAGCTTTGCGGAACTGGTGACGACGCGTCGACAGTCGCCTGCACCATTTCTTCCCGCATGACCATCGCAAGCTTGCCCTCTTCGGTCAAACCTGACAGCATCTGCGAGGTAAGTCTCGAATATGCTGACCAAAGGCACCCCACCTGCCGTCTTCTTGTTAACTGGCCCAGCTCGACGGCGAACCGCAGCACCGACGACTGTGACAAAAGCCGCACAAGGGAGGTGCATCCCCTGAAGCGGTCTGACCTTCACAAACCAAACACTCCTTTTTGATTCATTTCTGTCAAAACATACTGTCGGCCGGACCAGTGCAGACGAGGGCTGCGCAGAGTGGTCAGCCCTTGGTGGAAGCCTCGTGCCAGACGCAAAGACTTGCAACAGCAGGCAGGACAATTGGGAATTTTTCAGAAGACAGGGCCTCGCGGCATTTCCACATGGAGAGCTGCCAGGAGCCAGCAAAGAGAAAGCAACAGAATCCATTTCGGAAGCAGCTCGACTCAATTTGTTGGAACGACAGTCATTAGCTGTTTTAAGTCAATGAATGTGACGAGTGTCTCTTGGAGTGCTGCACATGTATTGCTGCCACCCATGATGCTTGATCAAAAAATGAGCTGGATCTCAAACCATCAAGCCATAAGCGCCATAAGCTTTATCATACAGATTCTCAGATGCGCTTCCTGGTTTGGCTGCCTACTGGCTTCCCAGCTCTGCCATTGCGCTGAGCATCCCACCGATGGTCATCATTCCCCGTTGGTAGAGCACCGCAAAGGTCATGGATTGAAAGAGCAAGCAAATCCCCCAAGGCCTCAGTTAGCCACGGATTTGATGCTTAGGTACGACTCGTTTCGATAAAACGCACTAAGCTCATGCAGCCCGCTCAGTGCCTTGCACCAAGAAGATGAAAACGTCCACGCACATTTCAGACTTCATCTTCCTCAGCACGCACCGCACGGTGCTGCACGGTATACAAAAGCTCCTGCTGCCCGGCAGAGCGCAGCACTGCGGAGGAAAACCATCGACAAGAATGGCAGCCACAAAGCCGAAAAGCAGCGTCGACCTGATAGCTTTTCTGCTGGTTTAGAAAAAATTGCGCAAGGTGTCTGGCTCTAAGTGCGCTGCTTCAGTGTCAAGTTTTGAGAACTGTCAAGACGTTCCTTACAGAAATGCTCGTGTGCGCGGTGGTCATGAAGACTAGTTCAGGTATGTTCAGGTCAGGAGACAACGAGCATGTCGCGGACATCTTCTCGAAAAGATTCCAGGCGACTGTGCCTGGCACTTGCAATGTCGGTCTTCTGGAGATGGTGCTGCATGCTGAGGACTCTCGTGTTTTCGCAAGCATGACTTGGCATGACCACCAGTGTTCCGGGCAAAGTTAGGAAATGAGCCAGCGCATTCCGACATGTCAGAAACTGCTTGGAGGCACCGACGTTCGAGTCCAAAAAGAAAGCCGAGATGCCAAAGCGCGGATCACAGTAGGGATCAAAGCCAAGCAGAGCAGGGATCTCCAACAAAGGCTGGGATTTGCGAATGACCCGCCTTGATTCTTATGTTTCCAACCCGGACCTGCCTGTCAAGTAGCAAGCACGAAAAGCCAAAGAGCCCAAACTATTGATGGACGCCTCTGGCTTTTTGGAAGATCTCGACTGTCATGGAAGAAACTCAGTGGGATGCTCTTACGACTTGCGACGCTGCCTTCCTGCACGGATTTCGTTGTTCGGATATGTCCTCCCTGTTGTCTTTTTCGCAATTTTTGCTGGGGCGCTGCTTTTCCACAGGACCGGCCCTTTTTCTCTCTTTTGGAAGAAACCGCAAATCGACGGTCAAATGCAAAAACAGAGGCATGCATGCCCTACTCCTGTCTTCTGCCCAGCAGCGGCGCCTCATCTGTACAACATGGTGCGACTTGGCCACATTCTCTGAACTGACCATCGGCCCTACCTGGCAGTGTGCTAAAACGGCGTGATCAGCTCCACAGATTATCAGCACAAGCAAGCGAGAAGGGGCGACCGATAAGATCACATCTAGGGCAACCTTTGTACAATCGATCAGTTGAACCCCCGAGGAGCAACGCTGACTCAAGCCAAGTCGCTCTGCCCAGCTCTGAAAGCGACGCCATTGTTTTGAAATATCATACAGTCTGGGATTTGAATTTGCTAGTAAAACGTCTGCGCAACAATTGGTTGTCTACGAAGATCGGGCTGCAAAACAGGCATTAGACCATGCTTTTCAAAACAAACTATCCAGCTTGGCATAGGTGTCTGTCCTGATTGCTTTACATTCGGGCCATGTTAATTCTTTTTGCTACATTCCGAAATCGCTGAAACGCATCGAAGAAAAGAGCCGTCATAAGCACGAGTAGGCAACTCGCAATGAACATCCGGCCTGGCATTACATGAGATGAGAACGGATGGCCTCAGCAGCTAGCTCAGCTTCTGCTGGTGAGGGCGGCACCACCTCTCCTTGGCACTGCAGAAATGTCACTGGCTAGCTCGCGAAATTGCGGAAGAGGCCATGATCCAGGCCTTCTTGACCATTCAGCTCCACAGCGCCTGTACGATCTATCCATCGGCTGGCAACAGAAAGATTGCTGATGCCTGTGAGGCCCTTGATGACAACCTTGCTGCCGGCCGGAAAGCGTCGCACGACGGTTGGGTCCGTGGGCACAGCGCTGGCCGCAACTGACGGTGCTTTCTCCCCCACGTCCACTTCGGGCGCGGCCTGGCTTTCGCAGTGCGCAGTTCCACGGGTGTGGAGGTGGTTCAAGCTGAGCTGAGCCCACCTCTGTGGCCTCTACCTCAACGGTCTCCACGGCAGGCTTCCGGTCTTCGCCAAAAATCTTCTTGTAATCCTTCTGTAGGTCGGTGCTGTATGCCTTCGAGGGGTGAATCGTTTTTTAGATGCGGCAATCCGGATCAGCTTCCAAAAGCAGTTACAAGCCTGTTCCTGATGTGTGCAAACACTCAACTTTCCTCCGTTTCATCGCCCGTCCCGTCAAGCTCTGCGGACTCAATCAGAGACTGGAGATCAGGGTTCACCCTCAGTACGCGACCAGGCGTGCCGCCTCGGCAGGAACCAGCTAATGCGTGGGAACGGATCACACGCATGACATCAAATGACACAAAGGGCCGTCAGCCGAGGACTAGGGTCAGCTCTCTTCGGCATCGCACGTGCAAGTCCGCACATTTCCTCGCACTACACACACACACACAACAGCAGCGTTAAAACTCTCATCACATTGGCACTTGCCACCCTTACAAGGTGCTCCTCGGAATCGGAAGAGTTCACCTCTACAACCTGGCAATGCACTCCAAGCCATCAAGCCATCTGGCAAGGCAGTCACAACCAGTGCCTCGTAGCCAATTTCAAAAGGCTTCTGAGAGGCAACACCTCATGCAATGCATGTTTCTTCTCTACCCACATCCGAGAACTTTCGATGATCAAGAACGATCCTTCCTGCAAAGAAGCTACCGGAACCTCGTCGCCAAAGATCCGTCCTGGCATCATGCATGGCAAGGCTTGGGCATGTAAAACCAATCTGTCTACATGCGGCAGAGGAGCGTTAGAGAACCCCAAGCGGAGTTTTGGATTGCTCGGCTCACCTGTCCAGACACCTTGGACTTGTTTTAGGACACATGCGCCTTCCACTCTGTACACGTTACAGTACGGCTCTGTGAGCAACAAACCGCAATCAAAAGTTATGCACGGTAAGCCCTTGCCATGTCAGGGTGTCCGCATATATACAATGTCCCATGGTTATCTTCAATTACGCAATGCGTAACACTTGCTTGAAGAGACCAATCCTTTTGATGATAAGTTTGGATTGGTCCGCTTCCTTCCCCAACTGCAACTAGCCAGACCTAGCTGCCGCTGGCACTTGCATGAAAACATCCGCATTTCTCGCTTTTGCACTACAGAGGTACCACGCGCACCTCAAAACAGCTGCCAAGCAAGAAGTACAGCCATGGAAGAGGATAGGGCAGTCTGTACACTGCTAGAGCGGGCGGGACCAGCCCGCTCCATGGACCACTCACGGGTGGCAGAGTAGCTGGACCCACCACTGGAGGTGCAATCAACGTCCAGCAGAACCTGCCAATCCAATTGATTGTGCAATCACAGGCATGTCCAGCATGCATCACAAGTAGAACCCGAGTCATGCTGAGCGCGCGGTTTTACAGAGCTGGTCTCGTCACGGTGATGATAAGCTTTGTTGCCTTCAATTAGGACATTCGTTGCCTGACACACTTGACGTGCTGTCCTACGGTTACCTGCCCTGACATCATGAAGATCAAGCCCCCGGGAGCGTTTGTTCGGCAACACTGTGATGCATCTCGAAGGCAATATGTATGGCAGGGGACGAATACAATTTTGATGAATGCATTTTTTGCCCTGCACACTGGAAAACAGCACTCCTATGTTAGTCGCAGCAACGGGCACGGGATCCTTAACAGCAACACCAGCACTAGCGCCCAACAGCAGCAGCAGCGCCAGCACCAGCACCAGCGCCAGCAGCACCAGCTCCAGCTGCACCAGCAGACTCTCGTGTTTAAACGCTCGTGCGAATCCATCGCGCCTTGGCGGACAAGCGAAACTTCAAGCGAGGGAGATCTTAATACATACAAGGCAAGCTGAATCAGGTTGTTGAACTTGGCTAAAGCAGCCAAAATTGCAAACAAACTGTTGTAAAAGCAAGGGGTGGTGGGGGGCCTAGTGTGCAAACCACTGAAATTGAGGGATGTGACAATTGCTGAGGTTGATTCACTATTTAGACATGATACGGGGGCGTGTCTCAAAGAGCAACGGAAGTGGGCGGGTAGGGGTCAAAAAACGAAGTAACTAACGATCAAACAACTTCAATAAGAAACAACAAAGGCAAAAACCGAATTAGCCAAAAAAGAAAATTAAGGATCAACAGAAACAACCTTGATTAAGGATCAACAGAAACAACCTTGAGGATTTGAACGCCTGAATGTTGCAAATGGCACGATTCGGAGATTCGGAGCAGCAGAATAAAATTCAATGAGGATCAAAATGACCAACGATGGAAAGTGAGGAGAAATGAAGAAGCGCCGCAATGCAACATGATGAATAATGAGGAACAATGACGAACAAATGTACAAAGGGTGAAACATGATTTGAAGTTGTGAAAAATATGAAGCCTGATGACACATGATGAAAAACCATTCAGAATGATGGAAGCCGTTGAAACATGACGAAACGCGCTGGGAACACCGAGAGGGTTGACATTTATACTCCGAGTTTCGAGGACGCGCCAGCGTTACGACGCGCCAAAAAGAATCGAGGACGCTCCACACTCCAGCGTCACCACGCTCGGCGCCCACCGAGAGGGTGGTCATCTACACCTAGAATTTCGAGGTCGCTCCGCATCGCTCCGCGCGCCAGCGCTCCGACGCGCCGAAAACACCGAGAAGGTCGTCACTTACGCTCAGAATTTCGAGGACGCTCCACGCGCCAGCGTCACGATGCGCCGAGAACACCGAGAGGGTCGTCACTTGCGCTCAGAGTTTCGAGGACGCTCTACGCGCAGCATCACGACGCGCCGACCGACTGACCGACCGTCTCCCTTCTAAACTAAAGGAGCCGTGACCGCGGCTGCCCAGAGCCTTTCAGCCGAGTGGGGGGGGGGTTTGAGGGGGGAGGGAGGGTGGGGGGGGGTTGGGGGGAGAGGGGGTGGGGGGCATTTGAAAATAGATGGGAGCCGGGCTGCACTGTGCGCTCGCCCCGTCAAGCCGGGATCGGCGGATATTATATGTTACATCACATTGGGGCAGTGACTACCGGGATAAAGTCAGATGAAGTAAGTATATGTACGCAAATACGGAGGTAAATACATGCGTTCGGCATGCGGGACCCCTGTGACGGCACAAAGTTCAGTGATCTTTAGGGCTTACGACTTAGGATGGTTTAGGGTTTTAGGATGCTTTTGGGTTTAGGGCTTAGGGTTTAAGAAACTTAGGGCTTGGCATCCTCAGACCCATTTAGACATGGAGGTCCTAAACTTGATACCTTCAACCGGTGAGTGACTGTATGGATGAGGATGGATTCCGATGATGTAAAATGAAGCAAAGAACGTATGTAAGTATAGTTTTTGCATGGATATGTACTTGTTTCTTATGAGGCCTGGGGATGCCTGTGGAATCTTTTGGATCTTATGGCTTTGGGGTCTAGGAGCTCCGGGGATCTCAGCGTTTCAGTTATCTTTTAAATGGATCCAAGGATGCCAAAGGCCCAAGAATCCTTGAATCCTAAACCTAAAAACATCCTAAAACCCTACACCATCCTAAGCCCTAAGCCCTAAGATCACTGAACTTCCCCAGGCCTTGTGCCGTCACAGGGGTCCCACATGCCCGAATACTAGACTATACTTGCTTCACCTTACTTTATCCATAATTGAGAATGGATCCATCCCGCTCAAAAATGAAAACAAATGCCTTGGCTCTTGGCTAGGCGGGGGTTGGATTGTTGTGGTTGGCTGACAGTAACAAATTGCGTCCGGAAAGCTACCTTCGTACAAGCTTCTGCGCGTGGAACAACACGCGCTCCACAAAGCAAGGAGGTCCCAAAACAGAAGAGCAAGGCGTCACGTCGAAAAGCAGGCCCTAGGTTTGAAAGCAACGGTCGACATCAGAACGCCAGATCAAACCACAAGGTGCCCCAGGAACTGTAGAATCTGATTACTACTGTAGCTACTGGCGGTCATGAAACCCAACAGCTAATATAAGAACAAAAGGTAAAGGTGCAGCCCATCTCTGGTGCCTCGACAGGCTGTTGCCCCACTGATGCCGGGCCCAGAGCTTCTACAGCTTTGCGCTGCAACATGCCCGCCAGCAGTCGCAAGTCCGAATCCTGAATGCATTTCCTTGGCAAGCAGCTGTTTCCGTCCACCATAGACTTCGCGACCATTTTGCGGCCATCCGCAACCACGTTGGTTTGCAAGATCCGCGCATGGTTTTCACATAGGGCTCCACCCAAAGTGCTGCAAGTTTCTGCAGCATTCTGACTTGAGTTGCCGAAATGATGCAAGTCTCTCGCTTTGCCATGTCCCTGAAGGGGTTCAAGTTCAATGAAGTACACACTGCGAGAAAGACACACGAATGCTGCCCAAGGCCTGGAGCATGGCCTGGAATTGCTTGTGGCAAACAGGGCTCAGCTGTGCGAGGAGCTTTTCCAATTCCTCCTCCAGAAGCAGCAATCTTTACCAGCCTTCCATGGTCTTCCATGTTTCCGGCATAACCATGACCGGCCTTGATTCTAGACTGGTGTTAGGGACTTGAGGTATATGACCGGTCTATGCTTCAAAACCCCCAAGCTTGCCTTCCAGCTTGCGGAAACAAAACGATGAAAGTGTCTGCAACAACAGACTTAGGGTGAAGTGTAGCAGGCCTTGCTCTGAAGACTCCTTGCTGTCATGTGCCCAAACATTCAACAGTTCACATAGAGCTGCATGAGTCTTTGTAATGTTGAGCTACAGTTGGGAGCCGTGGGCCCACTCAGATAACGATGCGGGATCTTTGCCTTCGTAAGCTTGGCTGAAATGGGCGACTGCACGGCCGCTACTGCTTCCATGGCCATACCACCATACCTCGAGCAGAAGGATCTGTTATCAGCACTAAGGTTTGCTAGCGCTTCCGCCAATTGCCTGTCACTCTGCGACTCTTCTTGATCGGCCGCATGGCCTGAACGAGGAAGGGAGGACGGCAAAAGTGCTTCGAAGGACTCCAAGCTGAAGCTACAGTCTCTTCCTTAACTCCTCTCTCTTCTCTCGTCTCCGTGACGCTGAGTGACGCTCACGGAGGGTAAAGGCCAGGCTTGGAGCCGTATTGGCTTCCTTCTTCGCGAACTCCTGCAGAGAGTGCGCATTCCAATGCTTTCCGCTCTGTGCACTTGGTGGTTTCCTCTATATCCCGGAAAGACCCCAAAGCCTCCTGCTGCTGCTGCAGCTTGTCTCTGTGGACACGTATAACCTGCCATCCATGTACATGCAAAGGTCCGCAGAACTGGCAGAAGCATCTCGTGCACACCAGCCAGGCCTCTTCATCCATGGAGAGAGCTTCCTCAATTGAATCCGCGGAGCGTCGCAACTGCGATCTGTGGTGTCCAGAGTGCCTTATGTCGTCGCAGGCTTAAGCAGTACGCAAGTTGTGCCCGATGCACGCACCTGCTGCATCAAAGCTGCGTTTGGGCCACATCTGCCTTGCGGACATGCTTGTGGAAGTGCGAGGACGCCACGAAAACAAAGTTCAAGGAGAGCACCAGAAGCGGCCTCATCATACTGACTGGCTTCTTCGGCCAGGAAATAACAAGGCTCAAAATGTTGAACTCCCCGGCTAAGCGGGCCACGCAGGCGGCTTCATTGCTGCGTTGCTGTCTCTAGTGACAGCAATGCAGTTCGGCAAAGCTTCGAGCCAAAAATAGCAAGATGCCAAAGACTCGGACAGATGTAGAGCCCGCATGTCCGCGAAATGAAAATCCCGGGAACATTTGCCAAGCAGATAGAGAGAGCTTGAGTAGTTGCAAAGCTTCACTGCACCCGTGGATGTAATGACGAGCACACTATTCACTATTCGAAGACAAAACCTGCCACATTTCTGAGTGCCCGGGCCACTGCAGTCAAGGCCTGCTCAGAAAACGAGCCGAGTAAAGGAACGTCCTGGGACACGTCATTTGCTGGGGCGAGGCTTACCCAGACAAGGATGCATGCGTGTGTCACACAAGCTTCGAGTCCATCGCAGCTCTGAAACGCGCGGCGTGCTTGCCACGCTCGGGTCCTGCACATCCTTTGCAGATGGAAGTAGCAGTCGCAGTGCTTGTTCGCGCCTTAGTGACGCATCCGGCCGAAGGGACGTCCCAAGCCCCCTTGATCTCACCATTGCTTACGCAGCAGCCCACAGCATTCCCAAAGAACAATTCTATTCAAAACGCCTGCGGCACTGGGACTCCAGCCAGTCGCCGGCCAGCGGAAGGTTGGCAATGTTTACCTGCAGTCTTAGATCTTCCCTCCTGAGATAAATCTCTAGATTTACGGCCCGAGGCCAAAGCCCAGTCCTCTGGCGCCGGCCAGCGGCCGAAAATGCGGATAACGAGGCCTCGACCTCGGTCAGGCGGCGCCTGGCAGCGATCTTCTGGGCTTGAGCATGGCATGCGCTGCAAGTCAGAGGAACCTTGCTGCGGAGCCGTGCAGCACGACGGGCAGCAGAAGCTGCTCGCGAGGCTTCCTTCTTGCAAGCGATGTTCATAGACATGCAGCCACCAGTTCGCAGGTGCCTCACCCCATGCTTTGACAGCGTCGAATGCCTGATGGCACATCGCACCATACGGGCTATTGAGCATTCATTTACGTGAGTCTCAGTCACCGACAAAATCCTTGACCACAGACTGCGCAGAAGTAAACCATCTGTCGGCCACCCACTTGAACTGCTCTGAAGTAGATGACTGTGGCACCTATAGATCTGTGACGGACAGCCATTCGATTCTCAAATAAATCTGCATCTCTTCGCTGAGGTACGGGCGCCTGTCCAGTCGCCGATATTTGCCTCCAAGCGGTATGCCTCAGTTAAGTAGCCTCTGCAAAAAGGAATGCAGGCGAATTGCAGAACGCCGCCTGCGGACCCCAACGTTCCCAAAATGCTGCAATCTCAGCACGAACGAGCTCCTTGCATCAAGCTCAGGAAGCTCTGAAAAACATCTTCCATTCTGCTTTTTCGAGTGCTTCCTCCCACGTCGGCTCCGACGCCCATCGATTGGCGAAGTTCGCCACTTGGTCGAAGCTTTTGGCAGCCTCTCACATCCATAGACAAGCACGTCGACAGAAGGACAAGATTGTTGTGCCTCAGTGAACTGACCTGTGGCCAGATTTTCCAGCGCACCATTGAAAACTCCTGTGAAAGCCTGAAAGCGACGTTTCCTTAGTGCACACGTCAGCAGGCCGGAAATCATGAAGCAAACGAACGAACTTTGAGGTCTGCAGCATCTTGCAAGTCCCTTCGCGTGCTTTCACATTTGCTTCGAGTGTTTAAACGTTCGTGCTATCAGATAAGGAGCAGAGTCGCATCCATGAGACTGTGCAAAACGGCTGCATCTCTGGCCAAGCTGCTGAATTTTCCGCATTCGCTCGGCCTTTGTCTCTTCCCTGCTGCGTCTCCACTCGGTGACCACTCGCAGAAATTGGCGGGAGAGCACGGCCACAAGAAAGGAGGAGCCCAAGATTATCACGATAGGCACCAAGGACTGTTCAACGAACTGCGGCAGCTCCTGCAAATGAATGTAGTTGAGCTAGTTACTGCTACTTGAGCTCAGCTTGTCTCGATTGTGGCAACGCACAGGCATGTCAGTTCACGTCGGGCGTCAACATGCGCCAATCAGGAATGCTGGAGGGTGATGGTTTGGTTCTTCCCAAGGCGCTAGGGTGTGCATTCACCGGATGTGTATCGCGTCTTTCTTCTGAGCCTAGACTTGTTCCTTCAAAGTCTCATGAAGGATCGAACGAGAGTCGCTCAGGCCACCCCTTGGAAGACTTGGACATGTCCATGCCACCCCCTAAGGTAACCGCATGAAGTTTAAAGCATCAAGTTCATGCAGCCGCTGCCCAGCATGCAGGCAGTGCTGCCTGAAACAGCGGCCCGTAGTCTTAGTGTACAAGTTCGATTCTGCTCGTCCTCTGGGAGCAGTCCATTGTTCGGGCGCTCAGGTGATGGTACTGGCTCATCAGCAAGCTGGCGAAGGATCCTCATGAAGGTCAGGCCGAAGGTTTTGCATTCTCATGAAGTAGCCTCGAGCATCTCCAACAAGGGACAGTGTCAACAACTGGAAGACCCTCCAGCCCACTCTGTGAGTCGCTGCCCTCTGCCACTCAAGTCTGCATAAGCTTAGCATCTCTGGCTTCTGCTGCAGCTTCTCCAGCACTTCTGCATCCTTGTTTCCCAGGATTTCAAGCTGGTCCTGCAGAGCTCTAACAAAAGAGGCTGACATCTGTTTCCACATGCTTGCAGTCCTCGATTCCGGCCTGCAGGTCACTGATCAACCTTGACAACATCACCTGAGCGCACCGAGTAGCTCTGTTGAACGCTTGCCAGACTGCTCTCATCATGAGAGTAAGCGAGTGAGGCTCCCTGAGTGCTTCCGAAAAAGACAGCTCTTCCCCGACAGCGTGCTGTCACCAGCCCACCATAGCCCACCCATTTGTCACTTGCTGAAACAGCAAATTCTCTGCACACTGTCACAAAGGCCCTGACGTCATCATATCGAGGCAGGGCTTCATCTGTTGGCTTCATAAGCCTCTCCGCACCAGAGCGCAGCGACTCCAACTTGGAGCCGAGGCCCGCCAGGATGGTTCCCAGAGCATTGTTGGATTCGGAGACCTGTCTGCGCAGAAATCTGCTTGAACAAGCAAACATGAAAACTTCTGCGAGCGCAGGCAGGGAGAACCCTGCTGTCACTGTTTGCGAACGCTTGTTAGTGATGTTTTCCAGATTTCACCTGCGTCGAGGGACGGTCCAGGCTTTGCTGACAGCTGGAGACCAAAGCAGCAGTCTCTGGACAACACTACGCCAAGCAAGACAACAGCGACTCTCTCTACGACTGAAGGTTGGCCAAGCAATGAAAAAGTCGCCATGTTTGCACCAAATGCTGCCTGGCAACGTACCTCTCTTCTTGAAGTTGGCTGGCCACGAGGTCAGCATAGGTGGTGGTGTCCATTTTCAGGCTCTGAGCTGGCTCCACATCCAGTCCCTCCTGACAACATTCTTCGAGAGATACTTCGAAATTGCTTCACATCTGCTGAGAAATCCCAGGTCCTCCGCTTGACCCTGATTGACAAGTCCAGCTTTGCGTAAGAACAAGGCCCAGCAAAGCAGGATAAGGTTCAAGGACCACCCCAGGGCACCAGTCCAGCGCCAGAACTGGCGCCTCCAGCAGCAAAATTCAGCTCGTGTCACAAGTGAGCACGTACGCCAACTCTTAATGCTAGGCACTCCGAGCGAGGGGCTCTCGTGTGAAACCATCGGCTCTTGTCGATGGCTTCTCCTCAAGGTCCTCTTCAGCTTCAAGGGGTTCCAGAAGATGCTGTGCTGCTTCGGTCTCGTTGACATCCTCGACCTCCCAGAATAACACTTGATTGCAGCTCCACAGTGCTGCGAGCAGAAGAAGTTTGATGCGGCAGGACTTCAACTCATGATCCTTCAGGCCACCTGCAGGTAGGGAGGTGGCGGGGGCCAGGCGGCGCGGTCGAATAACTCGGACTCCTCGACCACCTCCTCGACCACCTCGCTGAGCTCGCCGTGCGTTTTGAAATCTGCAGCCTTCCTTTGGAAGAGCCGCTTGAAGCCTTGCGCTGTCCAGGCCATTTGCCAGGCATTTGTGGAGTGTGTGCTGTGCCGAATCGCATGCTCATGAAGCTTTTGGAAGTGCTACCTCTTCGGAGTCCGCTGCGCGCAACAACAGTCTGGCAACGAGACGGAACACCTGCCACATAATGATTTCGTTCTGGTGTACGCTGTAACAGATTTGGTTGAAGCGGTCGTACAGACTTACAACTGTTGAGCATTATGCTTGCAATCAGACTGCCTCCACCAAGTCTGCGATTGAGCTGCGTCGACCTGCCACGACTGGCGAGTAGTGGTCGTGCCACACGCACACAGAGCAGTGTACTTCAAAATTGTCATTTCAAAGAATGCAGTTGCGTACCTCAAGAAATTCTCTGTCCGCAGCTGGCCCTCGCGGCAAGGCAAACCAAAGCCAGTTGCCGGAGCATGCGAGTTTACCGTGCAAGATCATTGAATACTGCGTCCACTGGCTATGGCACGATGCCAGTCACAAAGCAGCGTTGAGGTGCGGAAGAAATAGCATCGTGGATTGACTTGCCGGCACCCAGTGTTCAAACTTTTTTCGCTGCACTCGTACATACCCTATTCCATTGCCGCGGCAACTTCTGTGTCCATGCTGCGGTCTTGGCACTGTTCTCCTAAACATCACGTGTGCCCACCACTGCGCATGCAACCGCAGGATTCTGTGGCACACAGGCTTCTACGATCGCAAGCCTCTCTCAAAGACATATGGCCACTTGGGCTGTGGAGGCTTGTTTCTCGCAACCAAGGCCGTGGGCCTGCAGCCAAATGTGTTTGAGAGTGCGTTTTTGGGAGAACTCTGCTGGGCCCTTTTTTGTGGACGAGCTCAGCAGGCTTGGACCTGAGCCCGCAATCTCCAGCTTTGGAATACGTAGCTGGAACAATGCTGAGGATTTCAAGTGTTGCTTCAAAGTTTTTGTCGAAGCCCTCAAATGCTGCGGCGTGCTTCACCTGTTTATGTGGAGCTTTCATGGCCGTAGTGCTGAAAATGCTGTTCTCTTGCTGCCGGCGCATGCCAGCGCAGACGCGTGTTTGGGTTGGCGTTGTAGGCTTATGGTAAGAAATTCTATTCAGAAGTCTCGGCTCCTTTGTAAATCCAGGGTCTGGATTCGAGGAATCAACATGAACATTATGAGCTTAAGCCATAAGCCCTGAAACACCAGGGTCTGGATTCGAGGAATCAACATGAACATTATGAGCTTAAGCCATAAGCCCTGAAACAAAAGCCTGAATCAAGATGGCCTCAAATAGATAAAGTTGCAGAACGTTCAAAAAATGTCCTTTGGGAAACTAAACACACCGTGGCGCACTTCATTTTTTGAATACATGTTACAGGAATGGAGGAGCTTGCCGATGCCGCCCAGCATAGCGCAACCAAGTTTAAAACAAAAATCACCTTTGAGAGGCTCGTCGAATACGTGGTTTCTTTTTCTGCCTGCTCAGAAGAAATATCCCAGACCCAAAACAGGAATCCGCTTTCGTATCATAAGCCTAAGCTGCACATGTTCGACAGAGCCAAACTTAAGCCGCGTCCAGCGGCATTGTTCCGCAGTAGCTTAAGTAGCTCCACTGAAGGGGCCCCCCATCCCATTCATGTTATTTCGAATTCCCACGTGCGCCGCGTGGCCCTGCCTGGCATGCGGGGAATATGTCATGGATTAAAAAAGTTGTCCATTGGTATGAAAATGATATTGAAGCAATCTCCAGCCTCTTCCTTGTGACAACCAAGGTCAGAATGCAGAAACGCCAGCAAAGCCGCGCCACCAACGTTCCACACAGGGGTGACCGCAGAGGGGTGCTGTCAGTTTTGGTAGCAAGCAAAGTTGCTGGGTACTGCTGCTTCCCGTTGTTGGCCCGCCGAACTCCCCCATGCAGCTGACAAACCTTGGGGCCTTGAGGTTTGACAGTTCCGGTTGAGGTAGAAAGTGGGATGGTTCAGCCACTGAAGATGAACAATTTACACTGAGATGCGTCAATTTCATGTGTTACCACGCAGCACTCTCTTCTGCAGAAGCTATACTTGCAGTTCGTCATTGCAATTCGCACAACGCTCAACTGTTGGAAATCGTGCTTTGAGCTGCGATAAAGGCATTCGTCACTTACTTCCATCGAGGCCACTTCGCAGAAGCATTTCTCGTGCCAGCACCAACAAACGCAGGCTCGGCTATCTCTGCATGTACGAAATGCAAGTTCATTCGCAAGACATTTCAATTGCTGTGCTGGAAAATTCTCGAAAGAAGCACTTCACTTTTAGTCTAGCCTGCATCCTCAGCACACCTTTCTCCCCGAGTGTCGCGTAAGAGCACCCGTGCAACAAAACATGAAATGACGCTTCCGCTGTCAGAAGAACAAATGCTGGGATCCTGGATGGCCAGCAGGCCGCCCAGCACCCCTGCAACCTGGCCGCGCACTTTCTTTCTAAGGAGGAAAGCTCACAGATCAGAAGCTCAAACAAGTTGCACGAGCCACACGAGGCACCGCATGCGCGGCCCGCAGGCTTGCGGAGGCTTTCGGCATGGCGCATGTAGTACAGGCATGCCATTGCTGGACTGTTCAGGACAGAATTCCCTTGAAGGATGAGCCTCATTGCTCTGTCATTACAAGTCTCGAATCAACCCATTAATGTTCCATTCCCGTGCAGCGGCTATCCAACTTGTCTCACTCGGCTGCAGGCACTTGCCCAAAGCTTTTGCTTCTGTGACGTTCTCTGACTGGCCCTGACAGGCGGGGGCGTTACCCGTCGCAGGCGGCCCTCCAAGTAGAGTCTGCGGTAGTCTGCGAACGGCATGCCTGGCAGGGCAAGAAGACCTGAGAAATGTCCTCTGACTGCCAAGCAGCGCAGAAGCTGCCTCGCTCAGGAGCTTCGACATCAGGATTCACGGCGATGAGCAATTGCTGGCACATAGATGCACTCAGCCACTCGAAGACAAAAAGACATTGAGTCTAACTGACTGCTTGGAGCCTGGAGCTGGTCGCTGTTGTACATGGCCTCCGCACCTTCGGTGCTGACCTGGAGCTCGTTGAACTCCTTCGAGAACATTGCAGCATGCTGCAGCATGCTTCGGGCCCAGAAGCATTTTGGGATAGTGTTCTATTCCCTCTGTCTGTTTGATTTTTGGGAGTGGCCGGGGGGCTGGGATAGGAGGACGCTCCACGCGAAAGCTCAATTCCGAGACAAAATCTGAAAATCCTCCACGCAACAGCTCGATTTCGAGGCAAAATGTGAGCTCCACGCCGGAGCTTGATGTCAAGGCAGAATATGAGGACGCTTCAGAAGAGAGCTCGATTTCAAGGAAAAGTATGAGGACGCTGCTCACGAGAGCTCGATTCCGAAGTATGATGAATGCCATGAGGCTTCACGCGACAGCTCCATTCTAAAGCCAACTGTGTGGACACTTCAAGCGAGAGCTCGATTTCAAAGCCAAACGTGAGGACGCGTAGTGGTCTGAAGAATAGCAGAAGCAAAAGCAGCAGCAGCAATGGAGATAGCTGCCGCCGCAGTAGTAGTAGTAGTAGTAGGAGGCTCCGGGTAGGTTCGTGACGGAACAATTTCGTGGCATCGAAGCCCGAAAATGCTGTAACTACCAGCACTCGTGGGCTTCAGACGGGCTCAGTTTACCTATCGTTGTTCGCCGATGTTTTTGTTGAACATGTTTTGAGCATGCGGAAGCTGAAGTGTGTGTATCCTTGACATTGGCTCCGGGCAGAGTCAGAGATGAAAAATCCCCAGGATAGAATTAAAATCAGAACTCCAACCATTGGACTCATGGGGCGTGCCTTGGACTACTAGGGCGATGACAAATTAAATCAGAACTCCTCATGCCCTTCGACTAATAGGGCTTACCCTGGAATAATGGGGAGATGGCAAAATTAAATCAGAACTCCTCACACCCTTGGACTAATGGGGCGAACCTTGGACTAATGGGGCGATGAATGATGAGAAAAAGCCTCCGGGAAGCCTACTTCAAAAAACATGTTTTTCGTTAAAAAAGTGCAAAATAGGCCCGAACGCACTATAAAATGCACAAAAAACTCAGACCAAAAAAACTAAGCAAATGGAGCAAGCAGAAAAACGACAGGTGGACTTTAATCAAGAATCACGCGAAACCTCAGTTTCAGTAGTGTGAAGTGGAGAAAATCACACCCCGACCGTTACCTAGTAGTAGTAGTAGTAGTAGTAGTAATGTTGCACCCTGTTTAATGATAGGCCCCCCTGAACAATTACAATTTCTCTTTAATACGGCGGCCCCCCTTAAATTTGCCGCGCAAATAAAATCGATAAACACCTGGAATTTCGGT